GTACAGATGTGGGCCACCACTGCAACAAAATAAATTCTTTTTGTTCTTAAATATTTATAAAGAAAATATTTAAATGTTATGTATATGGTGGTAATAAGGAAAAAATCATGTGGTATTATAAGCAAGAATGAAGGTTTTTGTAAAGGTTTCTGTTCAGTGTTCTGCAAAGTAAAATTCTGGGCAAGTTTCCCCAGAAGTTATATATGACTATTCTGACTCTTCTTACCTTGCCTTTCGAGAGTGAAAAACCATTATAATCAAGTAGACTACTACTCACCTACTATTCCTGGCCCACTATTTATCCATTAAGAGTTATTTTCTTAGACTCTTCCAATATGTGACCCCCTCCCATTTGAAATAATGAGTTTTTAAATGTGTGAGTGCATGCATACTCTTTTCTTAGATATTTGCACCCCCACCCTTCCCTATCTTCTGAAAGCTGGAACACTGCCAACTAATCTGTTGAATAGGTCCATTAGAAACATGTAATTAACACTTAAGGTTGGGTGCTGCTCATTCTTTGCAAAAATCCAAATATTGTTAAGGGACCAGGGAGATGCCACTACCCCCCAATTTTTCATCAAAAAATATACATGTTTGTGTAAATGGAAATTTTCCATATTCATAGTGACTTTTTAAGTATTTGAACATAAAGATTTTGATCTCACATTTTTATACCTGTTTAAATCATTCAAAGTTATTACATGTCAGCCATCAAATAAAGTTGTACTTAATAAATTTACTACAAGTACATTTCTGAATCGAGCACTTGTGGTTTTCCTTTAATTACGTAAACATATCTTGCCTTTTTGATATTTGTGTTCATTCTCTTTTTCTCCGGGAGTGGAAGTATAAAATAACTGTATGGCTTTTCGGAACTGAAATATAGATGAATTCAAAAAGTCAGAAATTAAAGAGAGTAATATTTCTTTGATCATAGGGACTGATTAGTCATTCCTTGCCTATATTTTCCTCATAGCATACGACAAATATTTTAAAGGTAACAAAATGAGAACAGATTAAAGATTGTGTGGTGTTTTGAATCTGGAGGGAAATTTTAAAATTTTTGAATGTAGTTGCAAATTACAATGTATTCATATGTATACATTCTGTTAAAATGCACGATTTTGAGGATTGTTATTTAGATTTTGTTTATTCTTGATGAAAAGCTTTGTTCTTGTTTTTAAGTTTGCACTTGAGTCTTATGAAATAAATTCACCCATGTTATCAATCCAGTTTATACTTATTTGTGCATCAAGATAAAATCTGTAATTTTCAGAATTAACCAAACTTTTAAGCACATAACTTCTAACTTACCCATTTCTAGATTTTTGGAATTACAATTTAACAGCCCAGCTTAAATAAATCCCATCCATTAGTTTAGATTATTGGAACCTAAAGTGATGAATACAGTTAATAGCATCAATCCTCTGTAAAACTGACATTGTAGGACAAATTATAGTCACTTTATGTGGTATAATTATATATAATAATAATTATAAACTAATAATTATATATATATATATATATAATAGTGTTAACAGTTCAGGAAACATTATTTCAGTCTGTTCATTCCTATGCCCTCACTGCCCTCACTAGTTTTATGATTTGGGGCAAGTTAATTAAATCCTAAAGCTGCATTTCTCCATTTGAGAAACTCAGTTGAGAAAATGGAGTTGGTGATAATACATCTCATAGGGTTGCTGTCATGGTGAAAAAGAGGTAGTTCATGCAAAACGTCTAGAACAGTAGCTCATGTCACCTATCATTAACTTCATTGTGTCCAGACAGTGGTCAGTCATCAGTCAGATTATTTTTGTCCAGCACATTCAGGGTCTTAAAGAGTTCCCTGACCCTGAAGATGTTTTGGAAAGAATTCTGGCTTTAGAGATGAGGGGAACTGGACTCATTCTATCACTAACTTTATAATCATGGACAGATATCATAACAACCCCTTTGCCTTAATTTCATCTTTCCATTAAAAAAATGACTCTAAAAAAGATATCCTTTGCATAATGAGGAACACAGATGACAGAAGGAATAAAGAATGTAGTAGTCTCTAAGATCCATCATGTCTAGCTTTCAGGTTCTGTTATTGTTGTCCCAAGTTGACTTTTTAAACGATGTGCTAGATCCCAAGTTTCCCATAAGGATGTGAAGCTGTGGATAATGCCATCACACGAATCAAGGATTCTACTAGGTATAGGGAATCCATCATACTCATGTTTTATTTTTATTTTTCCGAGACAGGATCTCCCTATATAGTTCAGGCTGGACTTGAACTCACAGAGAATCTCCTGCCTCAGCCTCTTCAGTGCTTGGATGGCAGTCATCCGCCACCATGTCCAGCTTATGTTTAATTTTTAATGAGAGTTGTTCACAACTAATTTCAAGCAGTGCTTGCATTTTTTCTGTTACCTAAAGTGGAATACACACATACTTGTGAGTATGTTACTTTTATGAAGATGAGTTCTTTGTGAAAAAAATAATAGTGATGAGATACACACTGATTTTATATGTCATTATGTGGCTGTCAATAAATTGATTGTTGATATTATAAAATAGTGCTTTTCGATAGAACTTTCCATAAAGTTAAAAATATTCTGTATCTGTTATTACAGTATCCACCAACACATGAGGCTGTTGAGTACCTGAAATGTGGTTGGAATGTCTAAATTTTTAATTGTATTAACCGCATACTTACTGAATTTTTAATTTTATTTCCATACTGAATAACATAGCTATAGAAAGATGACAAGCCACAGGTTGAAAAGCAGCTTTAAAGTCAGCTGCTCTCTAAAGCTTATGAAGGACAGCTATCTTGTGCCCTTTTTCTCATTTTCTGTTTTTGCGGCAAGCACTTTTTACTTGTAATTGAGTGTTTTGGTATTTACTATCTTATATCTAAAAAACATGCTTGTATTACTGCAACTTGATTTTATCACTATTTATTGAATTCTCACTACACACAGGCACACTTCTCATCCTCTCAATATAGATGTGTAGTTAGAGCAGTAAGTCCTTACAATATAATTGTTAAATATTAAATGTTTAATAGCAAACCATATTTAATTTCACTTTTCTACATTTTTAACACTCTGGAGCTAATAATTGTCTCTATTCCATTTGCTTTGTTTTTAATGTATTTATCAACCGTTCATCCCCAGATTACCTATCAAATCTTTTCTCAGCACTTCCAGAGCTGGGATATAGCACAGTTATAACTACCTATTTCAGTTTCATCCCCAGCAACCCCCTCAAAGGAAAAAAAATAAAATTCTAGGAATTTTATCTGGAAAAAAATTGCTTCTAGAACCCTCTGATCTACTTTAAAACATGTGCCCTACTTTCCCTATTGCAAGGCTGTTTTCCTGGAGTCTTCGTTCATCATCATCCTTCTGTCCCATTTGTTTTTCTTACTTGCATGACTACTTCTATTTATTAAAACATTTCCTACAGTAAAACTGAGTTTGAGGCTTTAATTGATAAATTGGTTAGGTGTAGAATTTAAAATTTCTTCTCCATGTTGAAAACAGTATTTCATTGTCACTTAGCTTCCTATCTTTTCTCTCTAGCAAGTTAAAGTGGAATCTTCCATTCTATTTCCATTCTGGGTTCTCCTGGATCTCAAACTCATCCCTCCCAGAGGTTCTTTAACCTACCTGTACTTCAGAGACACATGGAAGCACAAGTTAACAATAGCAACATGACACTTAAGAAGTGTTTCTGGGCTCTCTCTTGTCTAATCATGCTGGATGCCACGGGGAGACAAAAAGACAAGAGACTGGGGGAGAATTAGAAAATGATCTTTGAGCTAAATACTATGTAGGAATTTGGAAAAGAGAACCCGTTTTATGCTTCAGTTGTCAGGAAAGGCTTTCTTGAAGATCTCTGAGCCTACAGTTGAAGCTGCAAGAATGATGCTCAAAAATATCCAGCTGATACGTAGGGGAAGAACAAAAAGGGAAAAGAAAAAAATGTGAGAGAATGAAAAGATGAAAATAAAGTGTTTGTAGATGGGGAGGGGAGGAGGGGGTGAAGGGAGGGCAGAGGTAAGGGGAAAAAAATGAGAATCAAGACTTGCCATGTAAAGGTACATGATCCCAACAATGAATGTAACTGTACTGTATCCCTAAATGTACCAATAAACTCAATAAAAAAAAAATATCCAGCTGATAACAAAGAGTATGCATTTGTCTTTAGCAGTCTTACCTCAGTTCTCCCCCAGCCTTCAGGAACAAGTAGGGTGAAACAACAGGAACCTCATGGGTCACAGCTTGACGTTCTAGACTAAGATCTCTAAGAGAATCCACATTCGCCTGAGATACTTGATGTCTTTAGCCCTTGGGCTGGCCAGAATTCCCTGGCAGGTTGCCTTCTCATCCACTTGTCCCAGGGTATCCATGTATGTTACTGATGTGTGCTAAATTATGAAAACTGTTGGAAAACATTACTTTAGATGTGACTGTCTTCTTGGAAAGTATTGGTAACACACAGTTTGCATGATTTGTTTTCCTGTCTGCAGTGCCAGGCAGACTTGTCAACTCTGTGAAGTTAGACACTGTAAGTCTCATTCACTGTTATTTCTCCAGTGCCTGCCAAGACATAACGTGCCTGACATAATAAACAAATGAATGAACTCTAACTCTTAAAGAATGAGTAAAATATGGATAACCTGGAAGGCTTAAGGACTTGCAGAGAAAACTAACAATATGAATAGACTCAGACATAGTCACGGTGTGTGCCAAATACATTTTGCAAAACAGCTGAGGGGTCTAGAATTGTTCATGTTTTGAGGCAGTAGGAAATTATCAGGCCCCATTATACCTATTTAACATAATGTTAGC